CCCCCCCCCCCCAAAATGACAAACCACGGAACTGCTTGCTGTACCTTGTATTCGTCCCCGTCCCCGAGGTAGCCAACCATGAGGGCCAGAAAGAGGTACAGCGCGTATCCTTCGTAGCAGTCTCGTAGCATGTCGACGTACGGAGCTGTGTTCCTGAACCGAAGGCTAACGAACGAGTCGATGGCATAGATGGGCACCATCCATAGGATACCGATAATTTTCCCCTGGGTTGCGGAGGAATTACACGCATGGATGCGGGTGTGGTGGTCGTTTATTGGTCATCTTGGAACACGAAACCTTACTCACGTTTCGGGTGTATCTGAGCGATGAGCCCATATCGTCGCAGCCCTTCTCACGCCCAACGAACGAGACAAGGAGCATCAATGCCAGCCAATGGTCGCGGCGACAACCAAGGGATGCCCGAAGCTCTAAAGACAGCAGTGTTCAATTGCAGCGAAGAAAGAGCAGGCCAAGCTACACGTCCTCCTGACCAAAACCACATGTGTGCGGCCTACCACATAACTCGCCAAAATACATTGTAAACTGGAACCATCGCCCACCATTGCTCTTAGCCAGTACACCGAATCTCCAACGAAAATCGGTCAGAAGGTTCATGGCCATCACGGTGCGGTGTCGCAGGTGTGTCATTGCCGTCACACAGCAAGCAGCAGGAGCACTTCATCTCCAACACTTCAATCAGCCTCTCGAAGCGCGGAGAAAACAATAAATCATGTTTATTTAGAATGGATGCAGTAGTAGCGTGGGCCGATTCGACTCACCTGCACCACCGGGCGGGAGAAATGAATAAGATGCCGGCGTATGAGAAGGCTGGACAGGCCAACCGCAAAGGCGGACGACAAGCCCGCCACGATCAAGACGACGTCCTCCGTCTCCTTGAACATTGTATTTCCGGTTACCCCTCAAGAGCGTCAAACAGCGGACGCCCCTCGTACCTTGCTCACTTGCACCGCGACTGCTGTCGTTCACTCGCAAAACCAAGGATGAGACCCGCCGGCAAGGTCGAGAGATATATACTCCCACGTGCGTGGTACGAGATTGCGCCTTGCCCACCGGGCCGCGAATACCAGATCGGACGTTTGGTCATTGATGTACGATGCATGTACACGATGGGGAGCTGGGGGTGACGCAATGTTTTTGAACATACCCCATTTCTGTGCTTCTGTGAGCTGCTCTCTCGCGACCGCGTGCATCTGCATCCAGCTGTGTGGTTTTTTACGATTTGAACATAACCTCACAGAAAGACTACCCGTTCGAGATATAGTGTTTTGTCTGGTGTCTCCGCTCGCCTCTCTCGCTGTGCGTGCTGCCTGACCGGGCACCCGTTCTGCTTGAGAATTGTGAATGGTACTGCTGTCATACTGTCTCGGTGTCGTCCCGACGGGAGGCTATCGATCGGACGAGCTTTACACCCACATCTGCGGACAGAAGTCCCATCTTGAGCTGACGGCCAAGTTACGGTACGACGGCAGCCGGAGGGCAGTGAGTGTTGACAAGCCCGCCGTCCCTGATACATACGGCACGCTACACTGGCTTGACCAGCAGGAGCTGAAGGGTTGGAAGGCTTCCGCAAGCTCGCCTCGCTACGACTCCGACGGTCGTTGACGTCGGCACAGCAGTAGTCCAAACCTCTTGAACAATAATGTTGGAAGGTGCCGACGGGGGGAACGCATCCCTATCCAACGCGGAGGAGGGCGGGGCGGCAACCATCAGCCCGCGAGACACGGCTAGCAGGCGCTCGGCTGGGCCGCTGCGGGCGTCCTTGATACCCCTTCGATCGCGGCGATTCGTGGGCCTTCTGCTCATGATATGTGTGTTTTCTCTGGTAAGTCTGGCTGTCTGTTGGATATGGTATGCATATTTACAACAGGGGTGTGAACGAATGAACTTGGTGTTCGAGCAGTACGGTAGGCGACCGAGGCTACCGCTGTAGAACAGATTACCTCCAGCAACAGGTGCCACATTTTTGGTGTGACAGCAGGGATGTAACACTGGTGCTGAACGCCGCCCGGCTTCAACCCTTTCCCGTGCATTCTATCTTCGCCGTCGTCCATGTTGATGCATGGTCCAAGCTAAGGATGATGGATGCGGTGTGCACTCACTTGAGTACATTTACTAGTTTCTCCGCCGCGCGGATAATTACAGCAATAGGCAAGTTCAACTTTTTGTGTTCTTAAATTTGCGTGGTTCCTGTGAGTGTAGCGCGTGTCCGTCGCTGTTGCACACCGGGGTTCGACGTTTACTGCGGTTTGTGTGAAATACGAACTGCATGACTATCTCAGCATGGCGTACCGCTGCACTACGTTCCCCAACCCGCGTGCAAAACCTATTTGGAGTACGGACTCGGCCCACGGCTCACCCACACTCAACCCTCGGTACTATCGTGACGTACTGACTCTCCCACCGGAATATCGTGGAACCGCTTGCCACTTGTTCTAGGTGCAAGTTGGAGTCCTGAACTGGACTTTGATGGCGTGGGGATTCTTTGGTGAGATGGGTTTGGGCGGGGGCCGCGTCTATGTTATGTCGCGACATCGCTTTTGAGCCATCACCCCAATGACTTCATCGGGGATGGCAGCAGTCGGAGGGAGATCGCACTGGGGTGCTTTGAAAAAACGAAACGACATGATATAATTGCATTTCCGCGCTGGGTTCAGACAGATGGCACCGGGGGGCGATAAAAACAGGATGAATAAATATTCAAAAAAACAATCGCACCCGGTGCCATCTCTCCGACTATTACGGTACGTACGCATATGAAAGCAATTTGTTTTGATCCTATTAATGCTCTCTACTCGCGCTTTCTCAGCTTCAGCACGTTGTTTTTAGCTGTGCTGCGTGCGCATCAAGCATCTCTCGTGCTTGCGAATGGAGAACGAAGCGCGTCATTGCTCCTGAGAGATGACGTGTTGATGCCTACACATCTTTATTTCACTGCTGTGTCCGTAGACCGTCGTCCTACTGTACTGCTGTACTGAAACTGTGTGCGGTCACCATACCGTGCGAATGTGTTTGGACGTACGCTGGACGTACTGCTCAAGCTGGACCACTCTCCCGCCGTTCATCCGTTGCCTCCCTGCCTTGTCCACCCCTCTGCTTCCCCGCAGGTTCTCTGCTCGTTGTGAGCCTTTTCCGGTTGGTGCGACTCGTCAATGTGAGATGCTCGAGGCAGGTGGTGCTGCGTGCATGCCCCGCCGCCATGCACCACTCGAGCACACGATGTGGTGTCTAAACGCAAGCAGCAGTAGTTTCCTAGCGGATTAATTCCTACGCCTTCCGTGAAGAGTGTTGCAAGGCACGGGGGGTTTGTTTCTCTGGGAGTTGTCTCGCAAGCCACGACATGGCTACCCCCGGCGCTTTGAACGTATTGGCAGCCTTTGACACAAGACCCGTCCCTCGCCGCGTCTTTCGTTCAGGGCTACGCCATCAGAAGTGACACTGCGCGTCGAAGGCGACAACGAATACCGCGCGGAGCGTTGGAGGCAAGATTACAGCTGCACCATCCCGGTATCGAGCTTGGAAGGCTGCGCTTGCTGCTGGTGGACCGTGACTTCACGGGGGAAGGTAAAAGCTCAGCCGCGACAATTGACAAGCAAGCTGCCGTTGCATTTTTTTGTTTTTTTCAAGGGACACATCGGAAGGCAATCTTTGTTTGTTGTCTAACCCTGACCTTTTCGCCGAGGTCGAGCTCTTCTATGTCAGGCACCCCTTCAATGCTGCTGCACCCATTGCACGTATAGTACATACTCACGTGTCAGAAAAACTTGTTAGACAGGACAGATCAGTTGGTTTCTGTTCGGAAGAAAGATATTCGTGTCGCTGCGGAGTTTGTTCGCATTCCGTACATACAAGGATCGCATTTAACGACACTGCCGAGTTTCGGCGCAAAATGATTATCACGAGCCCATGATCAATCGGGCTCAAACACCAAACTACCGAAACTCACCCATCTCAGTGTTCCTCGATATACATATCACGGTTCACACCGGCAAGGCTTTCCGCTCGAGCTCGAGTCCGTTAGGCGAATCCTGAAATCCCAAACACGTACACACGTGCTCCAGTGTGTGGCCTGTAGAAGAGTTCTCCGTTTTTTGCCCGCACTGGGACTGGCGTTTTCCATTGGTCGGCAGCTTTGCGCGGTCGGCGCTAAATAGTAGCAGTGTAGTTCCACACACACAGTGCACACCTTGTCCCCATTGTGTCATGCCACCGTCGTACTTTATATTCCCCCCAAATAAAACCTTGTTGTAGCCACCTTTTGCAAAGTAGAAAAGAGCGATTGGCCATCGGTGATAGGCCCTGTGGGAACAATTCATCGTTCTCTCAAGGACGCGTGGTCAATAGTCTAACCATGAGGCATGCAAAACATAAGAGTACGCCCCCCCCCCCCCCCCCCGACACGCCCCGCCCGGTGTTTACTATCGGGGTTGGATTTTCGTCGCTTGGCAACGACGTTGTAAAACAAGCCAATTCACTTCGTGAACTCGGCAACCAGGTTACCGATTTTTTTTTTTTACCTCTGTTTTTTTTTTGGCGGTAGCCAAATGGTGGTCGAGTAGATCATGTTGTGCGGGGTGGAGAACCCTCACTCCGCGCAAGGGGGATGATCGCACCACGTTGTGTTAAAATGGTCAAGCACCCTCGAGGCAGTTACACAGTGCTTACAACTGTCTCTGGAAGTGAAAGCACCAGAAAATAAATTAATTCATACGCAGCTGTCATCCGTACGCAAGGAAGTAAGCACAAGATGCCGAACACCCTTAGCAGGATGCAGCGCACCCTTCATGCGACTCGCCGAATATCTCACGGCGCTTCGCGCTTGGTGATGTGAGAGCCTGGTCCGGTGAGAACCCGGCGTGCTCCGTCCCGGCTTTGTAGGGATGCGAGGTCAATGGTCTAACGACTACGGCATGCACGACTATGAGTTCCCCCCCCCCCCCGACCCCTGTTTTGACATTTCCCCGCCGTGCGTCAAGACTACCAAGCGCTGCTAGACCTGGACGAAAACAACGACGTGCCGTCGACGGTCGGGGCGAGCGAGGGGGAGATCAAGCGGAACCCGTCCTTCGTGATTCCTGAGCCGGCGGCCGACAGCGTCGTCAAGCCCAAGAACTGCTCCATCTGCCTCTATCCCTTCAAGCCGCGAGAGCGTGTGCGGATCATACCCTGCTTGCACCAGTTCCATACAGAAGTGAGTCCCCGCGAGTAGTGAGAGGGTCAGTCCTTGTTGTTCACTTTCACGGCATGGACGGTGACCTTTGGTAAACTCCTGCACTGATGGCAGCGCTTCTTCTTGAAATTGCGCCACATTTCTGCGTCAGAGAATGAGCGAGTCACAAATCACGCCTGTTCTTCTTGCAGTATTCCGGGCTGCATCTGTTTTCGGAGATCTAAGCAGGTATAGATGGCCTTATTACGCGCTTTCGACGGGTGGCGTCTTGGACGCGGTTTTGTCTGTCGTGCTCATCTGCGGCAGGGTGGGGAAATATTGCATGAACTCGTTGAGACAGAGTCTTGTTGTTTGCCGTTCGCGGCACATGGCGCGCAGCGCCAAGGCCTGTATTACCCTTATAGCCCAGCTCGGCCGCCCACTCCGTGTTTGACTGACGTCTTTCTCGTTCTGCCGCCTCGTCTGGGCACGTCTCCATCACGCCCCCGCAGTGTATCGACCCGTGGCTTCGGCAGAACGCCATCTGTCCGGTATGCAAGTTCCCCGCGGTGGGATAGATAGATGGCCTGCAAGGAGAGCAAAGGAGCAGGCTTCGATGACGAGGAGGTTCGAGGGAGATCGGCGACAAAGTTAAGAGGAGCTAAATACATGCTTGCACCGGCCTGACGGTCGAAACCTGTGTCGGAAGTTGTTAAGAGAGAAAGCAAAAGGTATCCAGATCTTTGGCGAACGTTTTTCTAGGCGTCCTTGCGGGTTGGATATGTAGTTTCTTTTGACCAACACCTTCGGGATGACCTAGAAATACTGGTGTTGGAGTTCCGTTGCACCTGTAGGCTTTGGTTTTGGCGTCCCACTTTTTTCGGGTAGTAGAGCTGCGGTATGCCGCCAACTCGGATAAACGGACTTTACTTTC